ATCAGTTTAACTTGTTTCTTTCCATGGGAATGGTAATGACTAACATGGATAAATTTGTAACAGCTCTTGTTGCATTATTTAATTAAATAAAAATTATTTAGTACATTACTACCATTAATATTAAAAAGTAGGGTTAAGTGTCATCAATAATCGATAGGAAAAAAAGAAGACTGGGTAAGTACTTTATTTTTTTATTTTCATGTTTATTGTTTATTTACTATTACAAAAGTAACTAAAATGTAAAAAAGGGATCTTTTTAGTTAAGTTAAGATTAGATTATGTAAAATAAATAATATTAATAATATGATAAAAATGTTTCACGAGACACACACACGAGCAAAGCAACTCATAGTAGCTCATGGGTAATGTAATTCAATACTGTAACGTGAACTGCATGTTCCCCAAGTGATTTACAACTTACAATGGCTCAGACAGTAGTTAAACACAGTTCAATGGGCAATGAAACAATAAAATTTAGTTATAAATAGATGTATGCTGTTACAAGCTTAAAGCTATTTAGGATAAGCGAATGTAGTTTCATGTTACAATCTGAAGTTATTCTATAAAGAAAAAAAGGGTAATTTAGATTTATTTAGATATTTTTTTCTCGGTGGTTATGAGGTCAGTCAAATTGATTGATAGAGATATAGAGATAAGTTAGAGAAAATAAGAGATAAAATATAATGCTTTACTGAAAAAAAAACGTTTTAAAAGTATTTAGGAGGTTTTAGGGATCACACAATGGAAATTTGAGATTTTTGAGATGAAGAAATATATTTTTAATCTCAACATGAAAATTACTTTGCACATGGATTATTAAAAATAAATAGTCAATATATTCATGGACAAATCTTTATTTTAGTTTATTAAAAATACTTCACTAAAAATTGGACTTTTTGTATGTGAAAGACTTATAATTTCAACTGAAAGACAACCAAATTTCATGAAGATATATATACACTATATTGAAAGTTACAATTATTAAATCTATAAAAACTTTAAATGAGTACGAAGAGGTAACATGGTCGGTCAAATTGACCAAGCTCATGTTAATAGAGTTAAGAGTATTTAGTATTTATGCAAGCACAACAAAACTTTAACTATAGAGCTGGATTATCTACAATTTTACCTTCTCCAAATGTCATAACCAATATTTTATCAGTTACTCCACACTCAAAAATTCCTGGTTATAAACCAATTACCAAACTAGCTATTTGCTCTTAGATATTTGCATATTTGTTTTGAATAGAAAAAAAAAACTACACTAGAGTTTAAATAATGAATTCTCAAATTCAGAATCTAATGTTACTATTCATATTAAGATATTTATATGTAAATGTGCTAGAAGAATCACTGAAACTACAAAAAGTTATGTTTTAAACTTATTTTAATAAAGAATGCAAAACATAACTTTAACAGAAGAGTAATACACTGTACATAGTCAATGATGCCTGTATATACACTATAAATTTACATACTCATTTATGTATATACAACATTTATTACTTTACAGTGATTCCTAAGCAGTAGATTTGCTAGGTTAGCTTAAAATATTTTACAAAACTGTAAATACCTTTCCATCTCCAGCATAATGAAAGCCACTGTCAGTTGAAAAAACTAACAACTTTCGAGATTTGTTTCTCCACCCTATTTGTTCCTGTACGAGTAAAAAAATATATTATAAGAATATGGCAATTTAAGATTGCATATCTAATGTGTGTGTGTTTCTATGCAATAAAAAAATAAATACATATTAGTACATCTTGAATATTTTTAGCTTACTCGTTTTTTCATAAAACTAGACTTCAAAACACTATAGATACATTATTCATTAGTGTTTAAGCATGATCAAACTGAAAGAAGGAATGTTGCCACCAGAAAGTTTTAGACGTATAAAGGCCTTCTATTCGAATGGATATTTAGTGAGCCTACACAAGTCATCATAAACTACAAAATTTATCAAAAAATTCAGCCATAAAAATAAGTAAAATAGTTTCATTAAAAACTCAGAATACTTCAAGAATATTGTACAGTTTTTCACCCTATGATAACAATTTGCATTTCCAAACAACTTGCCCCTGGTCAGTCCAATGGCCTATTAATTCACAGATTAAAAGCATGGTTCTCATGCTGGAATTCAGTTAGTGTTGTGATTTGAAAAAATAGATAGTGCATCAAACTAATCTCTTCTGGGAGAGTTACATTACAGAACTTTCTGATGGAGAGACATCCTATTTTGTGATTATAAGAGCATGCAAGGCACAAAATTTTTTATCAGTTTGAAGAAAGGGATATTTTAGGGTTAGACTTATTAGTAAAGAAAGGAAAGGTGTGATTCCAGCATGGTTCCACAACAAAGAACTAGGTCATTAAAAATAACCCAAGAACATAGCAATCTATTGAAGCTGCAGTAGGAACTTTCCTTGAAATATAAACAAGATGACACATGCCTGCAATGGTATTAGTGTCTTGAAATTTTTACGTGTACTACAGTAATTCCTGTATGCTGAATCCAAAAATGATATCCATTTTTCTCCATCATGTACAGATTTTTCACAAAACGTCATAATGCAGTACATAAAAGAAAGATCACAGCACGTGGTTTTGAGACAAAAAATTTTAGATTTAAAAAAAAAAATCAGGATGAATGAGGATGCATATTCATTTGACATCAATGTTCTTACCTTTTCTTCAGTTTGTTTCTATTTTATTTATCAAACATAATAATAAGAAATGTTCATTGTGGTAAATGAAATAATAATGTGATCTAAGTAAAAGTTTTTTCCTTATGTGATTAAAAAAATGAATATTATTTTCAAAATCTGCATAGCTGAATTGTGGAAAATCCATTATTACGACCAAAACAACTTTTATGAAGTTTAAATTCACAGGTCTGTATTATTCATGCAAATATAGATATACAAAAGTGATAAAAAGAGATGTGTTCATGAGCTTCTTTTAAAACACACAAATAGAAAATATATCACATGGATAAGAACAGCAAATGAAACTTTCAACTAATTTTGGAGCCCAGATCAGAAAGGCAGCCTCCCAGGAGCAAAAAGTGTGTACGTGCTCTCTAGTGCATTCTTAGTCATTTTGCTGTGCTAGGTACTAACATTATTTCCTGCTAGGCTGCACTTAACATGGAACTATGTTCAAATAATCCAAATTACTAAAAAATTAACTTACAGCTGGTCATTTTAACATTTACAAACAAATGATTAAAATTGTATTATTAGGCCAGTTAAGTACAAACTAGTCATTTTATGAAATATTGAAGCAATAATTAGGCAAATCAGATTCTATCCAGGCAAAGTATTTACAAATCATCTACAAACTGATGCCATCAGAGTCTTTTAAAAAATCAATATGGATAGTCTGTTCATTTTCCTGAAAAAAACAAAACATATATACAGGCAAAATTGCACTGGTCTCTGCTGCTTTTTTGTGTTTGAAATTCACCAGTCCCATGATTTCACCCTCCTACATAACATATGAAACTGAAAATAATTTCAGAATCTGTGGCATTTAATATGTTAGTAATATGTTTTTATTTCTAACAAAAAAATCCATAAACTTCTCCCCCAAACTTTCATCAAATTATCTAAATGGTTTCACATGTAAAAATGTTAGATGAAAGAGGAATGTCTATTCTACGTAATTCCACACAAATGGGCTAAAAACACAATCCCTTAAGGAAGTAAGATAACAAAAAAAGTAAAATCTGCACCACGATTCTTTTTAATCAACAGCCATTACACTTCAAGGAATTTTTGTGCATTTCTGAAGTTGTTAGATACCTTTGACTTCAAAAGGCATAATGTGATTAGGCAGCTGTCCATAAGTCAGCCAGTTAAGGCAACATATACCCTTTAAATGTCAAAAAAATATCACCATTAATTGTTTGCATATTTTGAATCCTTATCTCCTTTACTTTCAAAATATTTCCTTAGTTCAGACTAATTATTCACATCCCATCAAAGTCTGGACCCATTTTCAAGAGCATTCAATCATGTTTGTAAAAGTCACTAAGAAAATAAGACATTTCTTTTGTATTTCTTAATTTTTATAATATGCAAATTAGCCACAGTTGTAATGTCACACAACATGTGCTAGAATATGTCTTTGTACCTATTTCAATATATTTTCATACAAAAAACATAATATGAAGATGATTTTTCTGATAAAAAGGCCAAAACCTAGATAACACTATGTAAATGGTATATGCTACCTTAAAAGGAGCCCTATCTAATAATTTCAGTTTAGTATAAATGTCAAAGTAGGAGTCTTCAGTTCCAGCATCACCCTTCTCCAACATTGTATTCACTGGATTGGAAATAATTGAGTGGATGGCTAATTTGTCAATAGAAATGGCAGAAGCATCCAACCACAACTCTAACTCAACATGCCAGTTATTCCACAAGATGAAAATACAAAAGGGAATTCATGTGATTACATTCACAAACATTTCTTATAGACTTCTGTGCTTTTGAGTGTATCTAATGAGCCCTCAAAAACCATTATCCACACACACAGATGAGGGGCTCTGAAAGCATGTAAGACAGAAAATAACAACATTGGCCTATAGTTGAAACTGTAGTGCAAAACAACAGTCCATAACCAAACCCATTATAAAGGACACCACTAGTGGTGAAAGAATGAGGTGTAAGGCTTAGGAACCCATTTTTGTATCATTACCATTGAATAAACAACCTTCTGTATAATTTACAAAAACTTCTTAATTAGTGATATTATAACTTAAAAAGTACATATTAGTACATGTGGAATTATCATAGTCTTGATAGCTCTGAAGTTGTTTGTATGTATCATGGCATAGTATTGATAGTTGCAAAGCTACTTATATGCACTATGTGATAATTTTTCCCATAAGTAATCCAATAGATTACAAATCAGAGTTAAATATCACTCATTTTTTAAAGATTTGAAAAATTGTCTGGCAATAATAAATAGGCAAGCTTAATGGTCATCCATTACCAAAATAATTTCTATCTACTACAGTTACATTGACCAGCTTTTGCTAAAAGTAAAATTTTTTATTTTATTTTGTTACATGCTACACTTTATTATCTAATTAATAAACAATGTAAAAACATACAAAGATCTCAAACATTACAAATCTTTCAGTATCTTTTCATCAAAAAAATTTGTTAAAGCAATCAATCCTTTATGAACTGTATCAGCAAAAACTTTTGTTACACCATTCTTCTGAGCCTAATGGACTTCATTAATTAAAATTATGTCTTTAATGGTAATATTCATCTTAAAAACTCACCTTCTTTCTAAATAAAGAAATGTCTGATTCACAAACACATACCTGACAAACTACAGCTTGCATAATAGCATCAAATCCCCCTTCAGGGGCATCTAAGTTTCCTGAAACATTTGCCTTTTTAACTTCAGCAGCAAAAAGATTAGTATCTTGATCTAAAGGCAGCTGATTTCTGAAGCCATATGGAGCAGCACAACCATAACATGGCTTTTTCAACCTAAATCAACCAAAGCAAAAAAATTAAGCTTTGAGGCAATAATTTTTATATAATTAATGAAACATATGAAAAATATATATTATAAAAATTATGGATTTGAACAGTGTAAAAAAATATTGTAAACTCATATGCAGAAGTGAATGTAGAAGATAAATTTATTTGATAAGTGGTGAAATGCATTACATTGGAAAAAATGGAAGAACACAATTTTGACTAGTATTAAATCATAAGTTTCTTTCAACTTCAAGTGAATTAAAGTTTTCATTGAGGAACTAACATTCACTTCTGATTAAAGCAAGCTACCGAAATAGATCAGAATTAATACGATATACCTAGTAATGGGTACAGCTTATTAGATATAATGTTCAAACTATATTACTTATAATGTTTAGAATGCATTGTTTCATCAACTTAGTATCCCCAGTGATATTTTTACAGTATAGGATTTTATCTATTATATTCATTTCCCATTTTACAATAACTAGTATTCAACTGCTTAATACAGTTTAAGATTTAGTGTATCAGAAAATAAAGTTTAAGCCACGTATACCAATACTTAAATTTTTATTCTAATATTTACAGAACTTTAAAAATTTAGAAAAACAAACCACAAAGCATGAAATTTCTTTAAAAAATATGACATTTACATACATACACACACACACTTTACATACTTTGATGGATAAGTGCTCACAAAGGGTAGAGCAATCTTATCAACAAAAGATCCAAAACCCAGACGAAAGTTCTTTGTGATCTTGCCCATTTCTTCTGCAAGCAATCCTCCCAAACTGGCAAGCTTATCTTTGTCATCTTCCATGGATTTTGACAAGTCCATCACATAATAAAGATCAACTGGATAGTCCACAGCTTGGCGACACTTAATCTCCAACTTGAATGGCATATCTACCAGACATGAGTCATAAACATTAATAAAGTTATCTCTAAAAATATTTAATAAACTATTTATATTACATCTTAGATTAACAGAAATTTGCATGAAGTACTAGAGCAGAAGGGTTTAATCTGTTTCAAACTATTCTGTCTCTAATTCAATAAGACTGAAGGTTTCTTTCTTTTGTTTATAGCAAAGATACTAAGGTTATCAGCTGTTTCCCTAATTCCAAACTAATAATGGCTGGAGATGGCTTGAATGGGTAATGAAGAAAAACTTGTATTAAAGTTTTTCTTCATTACCTATTCAAGCCATCTCCAGCCATTATTAGTCTCAAAGTGGGTTCCTCTTCATCGAATTGTAATTCCAAACTGCCAACCACAGGAATGGCAACTAGCTGGTAGCACCCACCAACTACTCTTGAGCTACTCTTTTACCAAATAGTGAGATTGACTGTCTTGTTATAATGCCACAAAATGCTAAAAAGGCAACCATGTTCAGCATTGTGTTTCAATCCTGCAACCTGCAGATTGCAAGTCAGTCAATCTAACCACCAAGCCATCATGCAAGTCCAACTTTTGGAGAATTAAGAAAATTTATCTTTATAATTCAGTATAATATAAAATAGACCTAACATTGACAAACCACTCAAACAAAACTTTCTTTATTTTGCTCTCATCAAACTCTGAAGAAAAAGTCCAAGATATAAAGCAGTACAGTAGGACATCAAAAAGTGTGAAAAATATGATTAAAATCACTGTTCTAAATAAAGGTGTAAGAGACTAGAATCAGAAATTATTTTTATATCCATTACAATGATTTCAAAGTAAAACATCTGAACAATAAAAATATTGTAAAATATTGCTTTTAATTTTCAATCAAGTCAATGTACTAAATCAAATATGCAGTTAAGAACAGTAAATGACGCTAAGTTTATAGCGAGTTTTATAAAGTAGAAATAAATACTTGTTGGTTCAGAATCATGTCTGATAAAGCTTTAGCCATGATGCAAGAAATTTAGTTCTACGAGTACTTGTCACAAACTACATGGAAAGACATCGAGAAGAAGTATAATTTTTATGCTTGAAACATTTTGTGACTCACTTTTACTTATGATTAAACACAATTATATCATTGTAAAAATAAAATCAATACTTTCTGTAGTAGAACATATGATTGCATGAAACAGATGGAATGATGAGAAGTAAATATCATAATGTAGAATATTGATATTGCTGTCTTATGTAAACTACAATAGAGAGAGAAAGGGGTACAAGAGTGTACAAAATTTTGTATTTTATTATATTTGACTCAATCTCAACATTGTCAGCTGTAGTTGTTTTATAGCTAAATCTCTATTCTCTCAGTGTTTTGAATTATAATTGTTTAAAAGCTAAATTTCTATCCTTACAGAAGTATTAAGTGAATTACCTTCAGAATAAAAACATAAGACAATTTGTTTTAAATAGTAATAACAGCAAATCACCCAAGAATATTAATCTTTATTGATTTTAATCTTTCTATTCCAGGCAAACCAACTTATTCTTTGTTGAATAAATTCACAAATATGCATATACAGTAAATAAACACTATAAAATCAGTTACATTTATATGAATAAATATCTATTTCAGCATCCCTTCATACCAAGCCTAGAGAGCATTGAAAAGTTAAGCTCTTATAGATTTCTGAAAGTTATTCAATATAATTACTATAATTTGTAGTAATTTGGGTTAAATAGACAACTTTAGAGCACTAGTTGGAATGGAGGATTTTTATGTAATGGGAATAACTGAAACATGGTTAAACATAGATGAATTTGATGACAGAACTTTCTTTGAAATACAGGGTTACAGGCTATTTAATAGGGATAGAGTATTAAAGAGAGGGAAGAGTGGCTTTATATGTAAAATGTAGGTTACATCCTGTTGAAGTTGAGGATATCAAAGATTATAGTAAGGAGATTGAATCCATTTGGGTTTCTATTAGTGAATATAAAGGGAAAAGGCTTTTAGTGGGAATTTGTTACAGACCACCAAATGATACTGATAAAATTCGTGAGAAACCTTACAATGAGATTAAGATTTCAGCTGTTAATGAAGTCATAATTATGGATGATTTTAATTTCAGGCATATAGATTGGGAAATTCTAGAGTCAAACCATGAGAAAGAGAGAGAGAAAGAAATGTTTTTGGAAACTGTTCAGGATGGTTTTCTTCACCAGTTAGTCAAGGAACCTACTAGAAATATTTCTATTTTAGATTTATTGTTAACATCTAATATAAAAATGATTGAGAGAGTGGAAACTGGGGAACATCTGGGTGCAAGTGATCATTACTCTATTAGATTACGTTTTGCTGCATATGGAGATAAGGAATAATGGTATTTTGGTTACAAATTTCAAAAAAGTGAATTTTGAAGGGACGCAACAACGATTATCTGTTGTAAATTGGGCAGCTGAGTTATTAGAAGAATTATGTAGAAAATTTGTAAAGATAAATTTTTAAATATTCAAGATGATCATATTCCTTACAGATAAAAAAAGGATAGCTGTAATTAAAAACTAGGTTGGCTCACAAAGGGTATAAGGGACAAAATTAAAGAAAAGCATCACAAATTTAAGAAATTTAAATTGACTGGTTTGACAGGAGATTTAGAAGGTTATAGAATATCAAGAAAGTTTATCAAACAAGAGAGTATGACAGCAAAAAGGATGCATGAAAAAAGGTTGGTTAAAAATGTAAAAATTAACAGTAAGGATTTCTTTGAATACATTAAGGGTAAAGAAAATGTTAAATGTGAGTAGTACTTTTGAAGGATGATAGAGGAAGGCTCATATCTGATCATTATGAAATAACTGGATTATTAAAGTTTCTATTAATGAAGATTTAGGCAACATTCTTCCTCTTGAACAGTTGAGAGATAGAAACAAGATTGAAAAAGATGATCATATTAATTCTGAGCTTGTTACGAAAAAATTTGGAAGTTTAAAAATGATAAGGCTCCTGGGCAAGATAGTATTTCCTCAAACGTTTTGAAGGAGATTAAAGATTGAATATATGAACCACTTGCTACTATTTTTTCTAAGTTCTTGAATAGTGGGAAGGTACAAAAGGAATTGAAGTTAGCTAGTGTAACTCCTCTTTTCAAGGTAGGTGATAAAAATTAGCCCAGTAATTATAAGCCTATTAGTTTTACATCAGTTGTTGGAAAAGTTTTTGAAAGTCTGATTACAGATGCTTTGCAAAGTTATTTAATAAAACTTAGAATTCTATTGGATAGTTAACATGGAAAAATCTTGCCATACAAATTTTTTGACATTCTTTGAAAATATTAATGTTTATGTAGATGAGGGTAAGAGTGTATATTTGGTGTATCTGTATTTTCAGAAAGCACTTGACAAGGTGCCACATAAAAGGCTTGTAAAAAAATTATCTCTTTAGGTGTGGGGGATAAGTTAGCAAATTGGATAGAAGAGTGGCTGGATGGAAGAAAGCAGAGGGGTGTTACAAATGGAGTTTAGTCAAACTGGATTAATGTCACAAGGGGGTACCTCAGGGCTCAGTATTAGAACCTTTGCAATTTTTGAATTACAACAATGACATAGATGAAGGAATAGCCAATAAATTACTTCAATTTACAGATGATATTAAGGTCATCCAAGACCTTAATATCATCTGCAAGTTTAAGTAATTTATTGACCGTTCCTCTATTTTTGGCAGTATCCCTCATACAATTAAGTTATGACCATTTTCTTTACATTCCTTTATCAACTCCTTGTAGTTATCAATTAGCTCCTCCGATCTACCTTTTCCTACATCATTAGCCCTTATGTGCACAACAAATACTGCATCTCTGCTAGCCCCCTTTATTATATCTCTTGCTCTGTCAGTTATGTACTCCACCCATGCCCCTGGCTAGCATAATCTAATTCTTTTCTCCTATTTATCCCACAGACCATCCTATCCACATGTCTTTCAAAGAATCATCTACAACTATAGCCCCTTTATGTTTATCACTCAAATTCTTCACTATCCCTTTTGTTTTTCATTCCTCCAATAGTTTCTCATCCGCACAAGCCAAGGGCTGAAATTTTTTGCTCAACAGAACATGATCATTACAATTAAATCCACTTTTTTTAGCCCTAACAGTACTGTTTATAACTTCCCAAAAGTCATTGTTAGCTGATGTATCCCTTGCACTAAAGCTCATTTTCTGTTTTTCGTTAATAATGACATTCTTCCATGAGCATTGCCATCTTTAAGCAAAAATATATCTTTATTGATCAAATGTAAAAGTTGAATATTATTTATTTTAAATTCAGTTAAGCTATTAATGAAAATTACATGTGCCAGAAAGTGCTTACTTGGTCGTAGTTTTAAGTGGACTCTCTGAGGATTAATCTGGACAGCTTCTCCTTCCAAAGCACCTTTATTACTAAGTTGTTCATCCTAAAAAAATTATATATGATCTTGCACACAGTACACCAAATGTACATTTTCAAATTATTAATTCTTTAATTATTTAATCCAAATGCATTTAATCATCCTTTTACTGCACTTAAAAAATATAACATTAACGTAAATTTCATTATCAAGAATTCTGTAAATTTTAAAAATGAAAATATATTTTAGGAAATATACAGGATAGTATGTTATTCAGCAGTCATGAGACTTAACTAATATATAAAATAACTGAAAACTACATTTTTAAGTATAGAAATTTTAGGGGACAAAATAGTTTGGTAGATTTGATTAGAAGAAACTGCTAATCAATATTGAATTTAGTTAGCAATTAGGAAATATTCCTTAGCATCTTTTCAACATTCATCATTTTAACACATTATAGCAACTAAATCCAGTGTTAAAAGTCTCAACTTTTTGTAAAGACATCCTCTGATGAAAAAGAATGTATGGTATGTTTTTATTCTAGTAAAACTTTTATTCAGCTTCAAACCCTAATATTTAATTGTACCATACATGGCATTTCATGAACAAAATAGCCTGGTATAAAAAGTATATCTTCAAAACTGCAAGAAATACCAAACACATCAGCTGTCACAAAATAATACAACAATCGATTAATCAGAGAAAGAAGTGACTTGAAGATATTGCAACAGAATAAGGTTGCCACAAATCATTTTTCAAATGAATATAGCATTTTTTCTTTTTCCCTCATGAGACCTTGTCACTCTCTTCATAATGTGGTTTCTTCGGCTTTTTGAATAAGAACATGTCTAGTGACTTTTCAGCAGTAATTACACTATGCATGTCATGAGGTTTTTAGTGAGTTGCTTTTACAATTTAATTAAACTACTTTTTGTTGATGTTATACCAATTAGTATAGTATAAAATTGTAACTAATAATCCATATCTTAATAGTATATTCAAAAAGTTAAGTTCTTAATTTTATAAGACAATATTAAAAAAAAAAGATCCTGAATTTCCCCTAGTGTGAAAAATATGACATTTTTTCTCCAGGCATCCCCTCTTCTCTAATTTATTTACCACCCCTCCAAGAAGTACGAAATTTAATGTAAATTACTTATTATAATATTATCATCACTCAGATAAAGCATAATTTTCATAGCCTTCAATTTTGTTTGGTTAAAGAGCCATCAAATAGAAAATCATACCCCTCTTACCACACCTACCTGTCACATCCTCTCTTTTTTAGAATTTGTTAATAGTTCTCTCTTATGTTTAATATTATATTACTTTTAAGCAATAAAAATCCAAGGTATTCATCTTACAAATGTCATATTATATTACATTACTTTTCTGTATGAAAAAATGTTAATTTCTTTTTTCAATACAAGTTTCATTCCCATGGGAAGAGCATCAGCTAGCTTGAATGAATTTGTAACGGCTCTTCTTGCAGTTAGAAATTCAGAAAATTGTGATAGTTATGGGACATTGTCTGCTTTTTGCATGTTATTATTCTATGTTCTTTGGTGCATCATTGAATTAAATAAAAATTATTTAGTGCACTACTACCATTAGTATTAAAAAAAAAGTGTCATAGAAGGCTTAGGTAAGTACTTTATTTCTTCATTCTTGTTTTACATGTGTATTCTTTATTACAATAAATGTAATTAACATGTAAAAATAGGTCATTCTTTAAATTAGTTAGATTAGATAAAATAAATAATAATATAATAAAATAATTTCATGAGGTATGCACGTGAGCAGCTTGGAGTAGCTCATGGGTAATGTAATTTTAGAGCATAACATGAGCCACACCATCTCCAGGTGATTTACAACTTATAATAAATTGGTGCAAGTAGTACTAGTAGATAGGCATGGTTCAAAGGGCAATAAAACAATAAAATTTAAGTATAAATAGATGTATACAGTTATAAGTTTAAAGATACTTAGGATAAACAAGTGTAGTTTCATGTTACAATCTGAAGTCATTCTAGAAAGAAAAAAAGAATTTAGATTTATTTAGTGTTTTTTTTGGTGGTTACAAGGTTGGTTAAATTGACCAACCTTGTATAGAGTTAGCATAGAGAAAATAATAGATAAAATATAAAGTTTTACTGAATAACATTTTTGAAATGTATTTAGGAGGTTTTACAGAATATGCAAGTGACATTTGAGATTTCCAAGATGAAGAAAATTATTCTTAGTCTTAACATGAAAATCATTTTGCACTCTCAGACTGGTTAAAAAAAACTTGATATGTTCATGGACAAATCTTTAGTAAAAATACTTCCTTAAAAAAACTGATTTTTTTGTGTACCAACAACTTGTAATGTTTACTAAATATCTGCCATATTTTATGACGATACACAGACTGTACTAAAAGTTATAGTATTAAAACTATATACAAGTAAAAATGGCCATGTGGTCAGTCCTTGGGACCCAGCCCATATTGAGAGAGTTTGTAACCAGCTCAATGCTACATGTGCAGTGCATGTACTGTATGTACACAGTCTAATCTAGTTAGCTAGGCTGCAGGGGCCGACCTGGCACATTCTAAACATCATGAACAGATTACTACAAAATATGTGTGTATGCAATATGTGCATGACAAAGTGTGAAACTACTTTATGTGCTGTTTGGCAGGGATTTCCAAAAATGAACATCAGCTTTGGTATATCAAACTGAAACTTTACAGTACTTTCACTGTGTTGTAGGAGGTCTTGAAGACAACATACAAGAGTAAGGAATGACTTTCACATTATGCTAAGCAAAGAGGAAAGTGATTTGCAACTGAGGTTGTTTTGATTCGCAAACTGCGATGCAAGCCCAGATATTTTGTCCTCTGAATTTTGTACATACATTTTTTTATAGTATGAAAATAAAGAATGTATCTTAAAATAAATTAATGATTTCATAATAGAAAACATTAAATTATCATTGCATGAAACAACCACCTTAATTATTTAGGGAAAGTATTATTATTTCACAATAATTACAATTTATGTTACAGATTATATAATCGTATTTTTTCTGCATAAGAAGACCCAATAGTCAGCATATCTTTTGGTAGATATGATTCATAGATGGCACTCTTTACTAGGTGTTGTTATGCAAGACTTATTCTTTTGTGTCATGATGTTCTTCTTTCTTAGAATTATTATTTTTTAATGTAAAGTCATGATGAAGTTTAGCTCATTTACTGTCTTAATATCATGTAAAATTATAAAAAAAATCAGCTAAAAGAAACAATGTCTAGGTTCTCTTAGCAGTATTCTAAGTCATGGGTTCCCAAACTTTCTCAGCACGAGACCCCCCCCCCTTAAAAAAAAACATTCCACATCCTGATTGATGACCACACCCAATGAATTTAGTGCTATTTATTTGTTTCAGCCCTCTGACACTTTCCTGTGGCCCTCCCCCCTGGGGGAGCCAAAGACTCCAGCTTGGGAATCACTAAAGAAAATGTACTAGATAAAAAAATACATATATGTATCATGTACTATAAAAATAGATACTACATAATATATTCTCAAAAAAGTATCTGCTGTTTACCTTTATTTTCTTAATTTCATTTTCAGGCTTCACTATCTTGGACTCATTACATTTTCCTTTCAAATTCACTTCAAGATCACATCTATAATTACTCTCAAAATTCTGAAATGAGAAGATAAAAGTTATACTTGGTTTCAACCTTCCTTATTTAAAAATGTATTTCAGATATAAACTCACTTCTATGCTTTGACACTGAATCATTATATATCAATATATCATTAGAAAAAACAGCACAGTTAAATATTTATAATGACAACTCCAACAATGTGAATATCACAAAATCATTTTTTTTTAAACTTATGAATTTTGCAACAAAGGATTCTCATTTTCTGTTGAATTGTACACTTTATGATCAGTTTGATCATGTCACTATGGGCTCAAGACTTACCATCTTTACCCAACTTATTTTTATGTTTTAATGAAAAATAATGGTTGGAAAATTGCCTGTAACAGTTTAAACTTCTTTACTATTGTGGGTATGTTGATGATACTTTCACCATCTTTAAAAACTGATCAAGCTTCTCAATTTCTTCAATATCTGAGCAGTAGACACAACAGCTTCAAGTTTACTGTAGAACATCAGCAGGAACATAAAACTTCCATTTTTGAACACCCTGATTTGTAATAATAATAATGGAGGATTTCAATGTGAATTTTATCGTAAAAAAGATTCACAGGTTTAAATTTTAATTTTGAAATTTTCTTTGTGAATGTTTTTAAAGAAAATTTAATCAAAATATTATTTCACTATACATATAAAATATCTTGTACTTATAAAGCTATGCATAAAGAATTTAGTAACATCAAGGAATTTTTATGCAAAAATATGTTTTCATGAGATATGGTTAACAAAATACTTTGTACTTATTTGAATAATCAAAACTTTTGTACTGCAAATCCAACTTCAATTATTAAGCATCAGCTGAAACAGGTTATCCATAAAGTATACCCACAGGTGTGTATTTAAACCTAACTGTTGTCTTCTTTCTTTTCTTAAATTTAAGAACCAAATACCAAACTTGCAGTCATCATTAGCAGTTTATAAATTTACTAGTCCTTATTGTAAGCAAGGTTATATTGGTTCTACAAAAAAGAAATTACTAACATGAATGAAAAAACACACCGACTTTAGAAAATCCATTAAATTAAGTATATTAGAACATGTCCTAAAAAAAATATAATTTTCCTAAACTTAAAATGTATTTCTGATAGATATGTATCTCCTCTCACATAACAGCTTTTATCATTCACTGCTCCTCTCTATATGCACAAATTTTTTGTTCATCACTAGCCTTAATACTCCAACCTACCCCATATATATTTAATGTGGTACAGCTGTGCTATAGCATGCAAATAAACATGCAAAAACCCTTCACCCATAAGAGTGAAACACACCCTCCTGACACAGCTGGCTCCCTCTATACTCAAAAACCTAATTTTCACTTCACGATTAGGCAAAAAAAAAGCACTGGTCTGGGGAGGAAGGGTGGGAAGTGTGAGAGAAGGTAAGTATCTATTGGAAATACATTTTCAGTTTACAAAAATTATAATTTCCAATATGATATCTTACCTCCTCTCACAGAATAGCTATTATCACACATTGACCTAGTGGAAGAACCAGTGTAAAATGTATCTAGATGAGCACCCTTCAGAAACCATCCAAAGAGAGCCCATGGAGTGTGACATCTCTATGTACAGGAACACATCCATGAGAGACTGCACCACATCTGAACCAAGTGTACATTTTGTCCATCATGAAAATATGTGTCTCTAAATCAGGTGGGAAAAGAGCAAAATCCACAAGAAATTGGATGCACCAAATGGTGTAGAGTGGATAGGGCATGTCAGACCGTAATTGATGGGTCAACTCAAGTCCAAAACCAGGTGGCATTGGGTATTTGTCTTCTGTTTTGCAGTAGGAGGAGGGTCTCATCCATTTTATCCTCAAGCTTAGGAAGCAAAAGGGAAAACAATGTCCATTCCAACTACCTAAGCATGGCACATGTGTGCAAATCCATAACACAAACAAAACCAGGTCACCCGGGAATCTATTGTCCAGTATGCAATGGTGCAATGCCATAGGTCTGAGGATTTATGTTGGTTGGTCCAGCTGTAATCCCACACCAGGACACTCTGGAACCGACATCCAGGTGGAGGTAGGATGAGGGGGTCCTAGCCTGAGGGATTAACTTCCATTTTGGAAAAATCATCTCCAGTTCATAACCAGGCAGCATTGGGAATTGTACATCTGTACCATCTACACTGACAGAAAACCACCGCCATACCGTCAACTAAATAGGATTGAACACAACACACTCAGAAGAATGCCTCCCTGGTTCACCACCCCAGTAGCTAGTAAGTGGCAAGAACTGCAGTACTCCACTCAAAGAGGGGGAACAACTTGTTGGGGAGTCCAGCAGAATGCAACACTGGAGAAAGTGCAATAGACGATCACGAAACCCTATTTTTAATTTAAAAGCAAGCTAGTCCATGAGTTAATACAGTCTGGGAAGGCCATGGTTATGACACAAAACACCCCAAAGATGAACCTATTAGTGGTCTTGTGGAACACCCCATCTCAACAGTGGGCATTATAGACCAAAAAGGCTGTACAGTGCAGATTTATGCATTAGTAGACCTGGACAGGCACCACCTACCACAGAGTAGGATCCAAACACGTACATTAATAACCCTGAATGGGGAAATAAAGAAATATAAACTTTCCCACTCACAGTTGAACTAAAGTGTGGAGAATGGCAATAGGTGAAATTTGGTAACCAGATGAGGAGAAGATGGCCACATGATGAACTTAATGTGAGATGGTGCAGTCCACATGCCAGCCCAATTGATTTCCTCCAATAAATGCTGGAAATGGTCAGCTTGGGAAAGGGAAAGGTGCCAGATCTGATGAATCAAAAGATAAGGAAGAATAAGCCGATCTGATAAGCTGGAGAATCTACCCCATAAGGGTGGTAGGGAAAATATCATGGAGAGAGGAAAGGTTCCAACAGATAAACAAACAGGAATGGAAACTACAGAAAGAAGCCATGTAAGCAATATAACATCACAGAGCACAATCTAGGTCAAAGTGGGAATATAAATGGGAAATAGAAGGTAGTGAAATAGGGATGAATGTGGCATCACCTTCATGAGCCACCAACATCTTGGGGAAAAAAATGTGTACCAGATACAGAAAAACATAGGTATGGTGATAAAGGATATGTGATATGTCAACCTATGATCACCACAGGCAAAAAGGAGCAAAATATAGGTCATGAAGGACAAATGGTATAGGGAACAGATGGCCAAGGGTTCAAAAGGAGATTGGTAAGAGCATGGAGAACAGCAGTGAGGTCCCAATCAGGAAGGGGCATAGGATGAGGATGATGAAGTGAACGAAAGGAACACAATAAAAGGGAGAGGACCAGAGAAGAAAACACTTGACAGGAATGACAGAAATGAAATGTAGTGGACAAGATTGTTCTATAGCTGAGAATGATAGAAATTCACAAATATTTTTACAAAAGTCCTTTTAGCATAATATAAATGTTAAAAAAAAGAACCATAAAACTTTAACTAACTTGAAATTTAAAAAAAAATATTTTAGATTCATAGCCAACATAAAATTTGGTTATATCAATATTTATCATCAAAATGTACAAGGGTCCAGTAAGCTTACTGCCCTTCATCAAAACAGTTTGAATTAGCAACTTAAAATATATCTGTCACACCTTTTCTATCATAAGATAGGTTACACAGTTTCCTGTATTAATAGAAAAGCACAGAATCATCATAAAAAAAGGGAATTTACAATATATAAACTGGAATTTTCTGTTGAATATCTTGTAGACATGTCATTTCATTTAAATGCCTTGGTCAAACATCTAAAAAAAAATTTATAAAACAAGTCTTAATTTTAATTAAAAAGAAAATATATTATTCAATAAATGATTTGATTAAACTTAAATATCTATAGCAGGAAAACAGGAGTCTCAGACCACTATGCACATACCACTGTATAGTGTAGTTTGTGTATTTACTGAAATATTAGATTGGGGATCAAAATCATTTCATGGTGGTTATTCAATGTGAAAAATGAACAGATAAACTACCAAGGTATTTATATTCTTACACAGTCCTTTAATTAAAGTTAAACTGTAAAGACTCATTGCTATCTGACTTAAATATTAAAGTTTGTTTTGTTTGTTTTGAATTTCACACAAAGCTACACGAGGGCTATCTGTGCTAGCCGTCCCTAATTGAGCAGTCTCCATCCCAGTCTCTAACACTGGCTCTTTGTGGGTAGGAAGGGCAGGAGAATGTCAGCAGAGGTAAGTATTGTTGGAAATACATTTTCAATTTATGAAAATGTTAACTTCCCAAAACATACTTACCATCCGCTGCCATTTATAGCTAGAATCCTACATTGAGAAGGTGGAGGAGCCAATGACGGCATTATTCATACAAAAAAGTGTCTGCATAGAACATAGGTGTATCAAGATAAAATTGATACGTTAGTGGGGGAACTGCGCTACATCCAGAACAGGTATGCTTGTCACCCAGAACTTAGTTCTTGTATCAAGGGTGGAAAGTGTACATGAGTGATTATTACTATATGCCAGCTCCAACCAGATAGCCGAGGTTCCAATACTTGGGGTTGGAATTAACCCTTTCCAGACAGGTCTCTGGTGGAGGGCCATGTTATCACGTTTGTTGACTCATATTCAAAATTTTATTGAATTATTATTTCATGAATTTATGTCAATAAATTTGGTATCAAACTGTAGATTATAATTCAAATATTAATATTATACCTTACTCAATTTCTTAATTTAAAAGTAAATATTAAAAAAAC